GTGAGAAACGGTGCCAAGTCGACATGATTTGCACTAAATTTGTGGCGAGGTCAAGCCACTTCGTCACATTTTTCTGGGACAGAGACACTGGCCATTCTACAAAATCAATTATCGTTTCAAGATCTGACCACACGCCATGCTCGACAATGAACTTAGAAGGGACAATTTATCGGTATGAACGAATCTTTCATTTATATCGCCAACTAGCAAATGAAAACATGTACATTCAAGCACCGCTTGCAATTTTTTATGTAGCTTTCCTCATTCAACCTCTCATGATGTGCAAGACTAGAGACTAACATAACGTCAATAAGTCCCGTATCTAACCGTAATGCAGCCATTTTAGCTGCATAATTAAACGAATGAGTATTGCTGGGGCGTCGTAAAGTATCTAAGGGAATAACGAGACGGAGAACTCATTGTGGTGAGGAAATGTAATCGTAATAGATTGTGCTATCAAACAGGTCAAAAGCACTCAGCAAAGCGCAACCGATCATGCTGTTCTGCAGCACATTCTTACCAAGAATTGGTGTCTGTGCCAGACTATAAAGTGTATCTAGCTTATTATGACCATATTCTATCCGCCATTTGTCGCCACTCATGATGACAAAGAAAGTCAGTGCCGAAGGGTGAGATTCGCGCTTCGAGCTATACACAAAAGATGTGTCTGTCGGACGACCCTGCATGGGACTTCGACCCATCGTACCTCGCAGCCAAGAAGATCCATAAAGAAGGGAGTCTTCAGCTTTAACGAGATCACCCGTTCCTAACAAGCATAGCTGCATCACCTCTGGAAAACCTGTATTGCTCCCACCCCTCGTGTCACAATCGACCCTGGTGAAACGGAACCTATTCTTCGCAGTAAATGCGATCCATCACATCCTGGAAAGCGTCTAGACCGGCGTGCAAAATATTGACGCGTGCGGCACCTGATCAGGGACCTTCAACAACGACAATAGCCGTTAACGCAACGCTTCCAATGGTGGCTGTGCCGTCGTGGCGATGTGAGTTGACGAAATTTGGGCATCGACCGTTATTTTTCTCCTTTCTTGACAGGTGAATACGATATTTATTGCACACGGCGATGCAAATATTTGCGACATTTAGAACATTTCATTTTTGCTAGACCTTTCCTTCAGATGTACTGCGCTAAGGTATTCATTCACGCGCGCGAACTCCGAACTTGCAGACCACTAGAGCAACGCGCTGTTGCTCACCTGGAATACGGCCGGATTCGTGGCCGCTTCAGCTTCTGTCGTTCTGATATATATTTGATTCTTTATTTGAATGGCACCGTACCGGTTTCAGGATTGGTGCTAGTTATTATTTCACCGGCGCCTGATTGAGGCGTTCCTTGTGGTGTTCGAATAACCTATGCATTTTGTAGCTTTTGATCACTTCAACACAAGCAGACGCCAATTTGGCTCTCGGGACCTTTTGCGTTGAGACCAAAGATCAACATCACTTTGCCAAACGTGTCTCTTCACTCCGGGACAGCTTCTCTAGCAATTTCTGACCCATACGGAGGATACACGACAAGTACTAGTAAGCGCAACGGTGGTTTCCATGCGCATTACGCGGATGATGTTTTGACTCAATTGTACCGCGTCAAATAATGCGCTGAGGATAGGTCGTACGCTCCACCAAGGAGTAAGAACCAAGCATAAAGCAACTCATTACTAGTGTTCTCTTCATATTCTAAAAGCGACACATGCTCAGGATAAGTCTTCTTATACTTATGCTATGTATGTGTTACATTTTTTGAAAATAAAACTGCATGCACTGGATGATGTGGGGTCAACACGGACCTTATGGCGTTCCATCGTCATCAGTTTCGAAACTTTGGTAATTCCAAATTGTGCACAATTGTACAAAATTGCAATGTGCGTACGCATTCTGGCGTATCCCGTTAGAAATTGAAATATTCTATATACCCGTTTTACAAATTACGGTCATCAAACTTATTAATGCATTGCGCAGCCAAAATCTTCTTAGTAAGAAAACCGCGTAATTCCATGTACTGCACTCATCATTATACTTCATGATGGTTCTCTATTTCAGTACTTGTGAGACGGGGTGCACCAGTATAAATAATACTGCTATACTCAGAAATTGATATATAAAGGATTCAAAGTGATTTTTTTCAAACACAAAAAAAGACCTATTTATATTCGAATCGCTTCACTGGCAATATTCCTATGGAGTATCCTATTTGGTCTTGCCCGACGTCTGGGTTTTAATTATAAGAAAAATCACCGTTTAGATTACTCTGAGAAAAGCTATCGAAGATTGCGAGAATCATCGGTTTCTAACCTGCCCTCGTCTGAGTCTCGCTTATGAGCATCGATCTGCAAAGAAGGTTGTCGTATTGCAAG